ATCCCTGGTAACGGGAGTTATAGTTTTGAGCAGTCATGTGGGTGCTGGGACCCAAACTTTGGTCCTCTGGAAGAGCATATAGGGCTCTGAGCCACTGAGCCATTACTCCAGAGCCATGCAGGCATGTATGCATACATACATGCATACATACACACATGTATATATATATACATGTATATGCACACACACATGTTTGGGACCATGATTCACCTTACATGAAAGCCTTCTTTATATGTTTAACTGAGCAGTTCTAAGCTTGAGGAAGTTCTTTCTTCTTTTGACAATGTCTGGAGACAACCTGATGCTCTTGATGTCTAGAAAGTTCTGGAATTCTACAAATCATTCTGCAGTGCATAGTGGGAAATTCTACCCACAACTCATCCAGCTTGACATGTTAATAAGTGTGACATTAAGAAGCCTGGTGTGAGCATATGGATAAGGTTTCACATGAACTAAACACTAACATTGATGAAGGGCTAAGAGGAAACTAAATAGAATCCACAGCATCCTAGCTGCCCATTGAAGACCAGTTTAATCTTTGTGTACAGCGTGCACTCAGGTACTTTGACTCATGTTTGGAGGTTGGAGGACAGCCTCAGATGTTGGTCCTCACTTCCCATTTTGCTGAAGGTCTCTCACTTTGCTGCTGCCTACGCCAGGCTAGCCCATCCCTGAACCTCAGGGATTCTCTTGTCTCTACTTCTCTCACTTTGCTGCTGCCTACACCAGGCTAGCCCATCCCTGAACCTCAGGGATTCTCATGTCTCTCTTCGTATCGTCCTGTAGGATTACACACTCACCCTACAGGATCCAGTTTGTGTGGGTTGTGGGGATCCAAACTTAGGACCTCACTCATGCACTGCAGGCAGTTTGCCTCAGATGTGAGCTTTTAAAAAACGAAAGGAGTTCCTGAGTTTTCTGGCATTAAAGGCAGGAAAGGCAAGCATGCTTCCTAAGCCCAGGAAAATGAGACTGTAGGGTCACTAATGGGGTATCAGTTTGCCTAAAGAAAGGCCATTTCAGGGGGATTTGCAGTCAGCAGTAATACAGTAAATCTCATTTCACTTGCAATAAAAATAACATGGACATATCAATAACCCCAGGGTGGAATGTTTTTACCATAAAGAAAACATACAAAATCCTATTTGCACACCAAAATAAACAGTAAGAGCTTGTGTTTCATGTCCACAGGCAATATTGTTAGAGTTGGAACCATGAATATGATCCTCAGGGGAATATAACAGGATGCGATTAATAAGTTCTCGGTCATTTTTACTGTAATACCAACATAGCTTTTCCATTCATTTCTTTCTTAGAGTAATAAGATAGGCTTCCATATCACTTAATATCAAATGCCTAAAACAGCTGGCAAAGAATGTCACAGGAGACATTCCCTTTCTCACTTCCCACAAGAAAATATCTCGCTCCAATAAAATCCTCTGAAAGGCTTTATGCCCCATACCGTGGGGGAGAAGGCATGGGAAAGATGTGCTTTGGAATGTGGAAAGCTTATTTCCCATCTGCCCCACTCATATTTGAAAGTGATGAGATTTCATAGTGGACTGCTAGGAGAAAAAAAAAAAACACTGGGTGACAGTCACAATGAATTCTAGTAGAGTCCAGATGCATGAGTAGAGAAGAATGGACATTTTTATTTTGCTAAAGCTGATCCAAGGTAAAAATGAAATTATTCAGATTTTCCTTTTCAGTCACGACTTTGACACTAACTTCCAACTCTTATGTAAAAGTGACATTGAACTAATCTGAATTGGTAACTTGGATGGATTCAGACAGATGGAATTGGCATTTCCCAGTGACTAAATGCCAACCACAAGTCTTACTCTGGTAGAGCTACGTTGATTAACATATAAACTACACAAAGTCTTGACTCCAGTTTCACAATGCAGTATTAACGTGGCAGTTACAGAACTCTACTCATTTGATTATTTTATTGTTTGGTAATACAGCTAAGATTATATCGACCCCTCAACTCTTATGTTCCAGCTCTTCCTAGCACCCTTGCAACCTCATGTCTTCTTTTTGATACTATTCATTATTTTTATTTGTACAACTTCCTGAGAAGTACTATGCTTGCACAGGAAATGTTTTACCCTACAAGTCATCTCCTGGCCCCTGAATTCCATTCTCACCTCAAGACATGAGAAACACATGGACAGTTTGTCTTCCTACTTAGGAAATAGGACAATACTTGTTAATAATACCTAAGAGGAAGCAGCCAGAAATACAAATGGCAGAGCCCACAGCTGGCCATGAACTTGGATGCAGAATATAAAGGCTTGAGTTTCAGAAGAATGAAAAATGGATGAGACCCAGCAAAAGGAAGGGACATTGTGAAAACACCAAACTCTGAGAGAAAAGAGCATGTGAACGAGGCAGGGTTAAGTGAAGGTTCTGGACTGATGGCAAGGTTCTAATTTGCTTCTATCAGTCCAATAGAGAGCAGCAGGAAAGAAAAACCTGTGACATGGCTTTTCAGCATGCTATCAGTTCTCAGTGTGGGACCCACATGGAATTGCTAGATGGACAGTTCCTTCAGATAGTCTGTTCCTGTTTCCCTCTTCCGTTTATGTATCAAGCTTCCTAGAACAAACTCTTATGTTTTTATCACTCGGATATTTTAATGTTCATTTTGTGTGTGTGTGTGTGTGTGTGTGTGTGTGTGTGTGTGTGTGTGTGTGTGTGTGTGTGTTGTGAGTGCTGATGCACACATGTATGCAGGTTGGCTTGCTTGAGTATGTACATGTGAAGGTCAGAGGCTAACATCAAGTGTCATTTCTCAGGACACTCTCCACTGTATTTTTTACAATAGTCTCTCACTGGTCTGGAGGCAGCCATGCACGCTAGGCTGGCCACTGAGCCCCAGCGATCTGTCTGTCTTCTATTTCCCCAGCACCAAGGTTACAGTTACATTTTACTGTGCCCAGCTTTTCCTTAATATTGGTTTTGGTACTTGAACTAAGGTCCTTATGCTAATATGGCCAGAATTTTACTGACTGAGTTCTCTCCCTAGGCCTAGGCTATTTTAATCTCTCTTCAGTGATTTATCCCACTTACTAGATCTCCCTGCTTCAAGGACTCCTTCATTATTTATGTCATACCATAATGAAAAGGCAAATTTTAAATTTTCAAATTTGCTCCAGCATAACTTTCTGCACCTGCAGAGTTCCTCCATGAGAAACTTCTACTCTTTAAAATGGGTGGTGGCCACCTCTGCAGACCGCTCCCCTCAGGGAGCCCATGGTCTCTGAAAACATCTCCCTGATACCTGCTATTAATGAGCTAGGTCTCTGCCTGCCTTCCTTCCTTCCTTCCTTCCTCCCTCCCTTCCTTCTTTTGTTCTCCTCCTCTGCCTTCTTTTTGGTTTATCAAGACAGGGTTTTTCTGTGTAGCCCCAGCTGTCCTGAAACTCGCTCTGTAGACCAGGCTGGCCTTGAATTCACAGAGATCCGCCTGCCTCTGCCTGCTGAGTACTGGGATTAAAGGCATGGCCACCATGTCTGGCAGTGCTGTCCTTTCTGACCCAGATGGAATTGAGGAGATGTCACACTCTCCTAAATGCGGTGTTTGATTCACATCTCCACCTCTGACAGACCTAAAGATTTATGGTTTGAAAACTGGGAACATTCACTCTCATTCAGATGACATAGCATCAGTGCATGAAACAAACCACTTTGGCTGTCAGGTGTAAGCTCTGGGCTGGATTCTAGAATCAAAGCACTCTACAACAGCTTTGTGAGCAATAGAGCAAGAGAGGAAATCAGAGAGGACATACTATTTTGAAATTAGTATTAGTGCCATCTTGGGATAACGACTCTGTCATCATATGGATGCCACCTATAATTTTGAAGTTATACATTTAACAGTTTCTGAGTAAGCTGATACAATATCTAAATTTCATTCTTACATAGTCCAGCAATATATTTATTGATATAAACAGCAATGATCACGACTGTGATTAAACTACTAATGCACAATTATTATAAAATAATTATGTTCTTTCTATTTCTAACAATATGAACTCCATAACCAAAAATCAGACAGGTCAAGGTCACTGTCCCCACTCTAATCCTGGGATGAAAACAGAGAAATTGCAATACCCAGGGCCAATGGCAAGTCAGCCAAAGTCAATCAAAGAGAGCGATATATTAGCCCCAGTGTCTATCTCCAAAGACATGATGGCTCATACTTGTCATCACTGAGGCAGAATGATTTTAAGTTTGAAGCCAGCCTAAACTATACAGCAAGAGCTTGTCCCCAAACAAACAAACAAACAAGCAAAACCATAACAGGGCTAGCAAGCTGGCTCAGCAGGTAAAGGTGCTTGTGGCCAAGTCTGAGGACCTGAGTTTGATCCTGGGGACCCACATGGTCGAAGGACAGAATTAACTCACACAAATTGTCCTCTGGCCTCCATACTTGTATATAATACAACCAAATTACAGAACAGTTTTAGAGAGGCTACACCACGTGGTTTAAACTGTCTTGGATTTGTGAGATAGGATTTGAAGCTAAGTAAGAGGCTATACATGTCTAGACACAGATTAAAAGGAAGAGAGAAGATACAATGACCTGAACCAGTGTGACCATGTCCCTAACTCCATTGCAGAAATGAACCTGGCCAAACACTAGGCATTACTTAAGACTGACCTCCATGGAGACAGCTGTGCAACACAGCTCCTGGAGACCCAGGTGACTCTCCCGGACCTATGCTACTGATGCTCCCTCCATGCCTGGGTCTTCCTCTCACATCAGTTTTGAGGTTCAAGAGGACTGGAAGAGATGAGCTAAAAGAAAGGCTTAGAACTGTTGAAACAGCCATTAGAAGCACTTGTGAGAAGAAAGAGCCAACGGCAGGAAAAGTTTGGCTAGCAAACCAGACACAAAAGGAAACCATAGCTGGTCATTTTTCTTTGGTAGACATTCAGAGCCCAGAGACTGCTTAGAAAAAATAAAAAACAGAGAAAATGGGGTCTACTTACCCATTCTGTATGGCAGCTGTGGGGTCATAGGTCAGAGCCATGCCAGCCTGCATAGAAGGGTGAAGAATAGAAAAAGATATCTCAACATTTTTATTACAGTGCCAAAACATTCGGTTCGTTTGTTTTTTTTTTTTTTGAAATTTCTAGGGCATGTGGCTAATAAAGAGGCAGTCTTATTCTGTTTTTAAGTATAAGGCTATCTTCAAAAACCAAAAATGTGACACTTGTATAATTGGTAGTAGCTTCAGAAAGGCAAATAAACGTCACTGTGGTCACTCTACAGCCTTCTTGGTCCCTTCCTCCTCCACCACCAACTTTGATCCTCATGACAACTCTCTGAAGTAGGCAGAAGCAATCTTTGCTCTGTTCCATCCATGAAGACACTGAAGCTTGTTGAGGTCAGTGGCTCACTCAAGGTCACAAACATATTGTTAGCATTGGGCTAAGGGCTACCAAGGCCTCTTTCTCTCAAGACCCTTGGACGATATAAAAGCAAAGGAAGGCACTACCCTGTGATTGTGAATCCGTAATCTGTCTTCCACAAGGGAAGTTTACCAAGAACCCTAAGCTATCAGGAGGCACATAGGGACATCCTGTATGGTGGACACCCAAATCTCCCCACTTACCCTGCTACCTGGAAATCACAGACAGCATGACTATGGACTATTTGTCAATTAGATGGTATAGCACCCTACCTGATACCTGTAAGAGGAGACCCTCACATCTGACTCAGAACCCTGTCATGCAGCTGTCTATCTATGTCATTAGTCACTCTCCCAGTAAGTCCCTTAGTCAAAAAGACAGTCCATCTCAGTGTCTCACTTGAACCCTGAAATCTGAGACCTTATACCCACACCTTCTGATATGGGATCTTTGCAGCTTTTCTGTTTTGAGATTGGCTTGGGGCTCTAATGAAGTCTGGGTACCATCTCTCCCAAGTTGGGAGAGCCTTCTCTGTGCTGTGTAGACAGACAACCTTGGGTGTCCCAGGACCCTCTGTGAAGTTAGCACTTGTAAATAGAAATGAAATGTAGAAAGGAATTTAAAATAGTTCAGGTTATCTTTAGGGTGATATTTTTGTTAGTATTTTAAAATTACTGAGCCCTATCAGTATGAATTTTCTTTCTTTGGTAACCTGCCATAATTAAAAAAAAAATGTAACCACTGGGGAAACTGGGTATATATAGAAACTCCTGGAAAGTTTTTATAACTTCACATGAATCCATATTACTTTAAAATAAAGAGATAAGAAATATGAGCAAATAAGCCTCCAGGACGTCTCAAGGTAGAAGAAGAAAAGCATTTAAAAAAAATTAAAGAAACAAAAGAGCCTTTGTGTTTTGAATTTTTTCCTTTTCCACATGTTTTAAGCCAGTTTCCCGATCAGAGTCTTTGGATTTTTAACACAGAACTGAAAGGAACTGTGCCATGCTATGTGGGCTCTGATATATAGTGCAGTCTGCTGCCTTTAAGCTTGCATTTCTCATAAAATTCCACAAATGATAATTTTCATGTTGTTATTTAGATGGGAGTAAGGAACTAAAGCATGACATCACAGATGATCAGAAGGGGCATGATGGGAGAGAATCCATAATCTGGATTACATGAAGTGTGTAAACAGTTGAGATGTCTGTTACAAGTCAGCAGAGGTGCCCAGGGTATCTCCACAGAGGGTGTTTACCAAGCATCCTAAGCTATGGTGTGTGTGTGTGTGTGTGTGTGTGTGTGTGTGTGTGTGTGTGTGTGTGTGTGTGTGCCCGGTATGACAGACACACACTAGAACAGTAATTCAAGGGACAATTTCCCTTGCCCTGCTACACAGGAGTCAGAATACATCTGGAACAGTGAACTGCAGGGGAAGGAGTGCCTTGGGCGAGGGAGGTAGGGCAGAATTTAGTGAAGTTGCCACCACCTACTTCAGAGTTTTGCCTATGATAGTCCTGTCTGTGAGAACCTCGGCTAGAAGAGACAGCCTCAGGTCACATGCATTTGGAACAGGGTGGGTAACAGAGGAAGGCAAGCGATTTTGTTTTTAACTGAAGTGTTGGCTGAGTGTCACAGTCCAGAGCCAGCACTTGTCTGCACCTGGGGCTCACCTTGAGCGTGACAGATTGATGAGTTATGATGCTAATACGCTCTTGATGCAGACTTTGCATTCAATTTCCCTTTGTCTCTTCCCACAAAGATGGGGAAGAAATTGATTTTGCTGCTCTGTCTAGGCCCTTTAGACAAAGCCAGAGGCATGAAATCACCATTGTGTAATCACCAAATATGATGGCATGTTGACAAACTCCAGAGTCACAGGAAAAAAATAACATAAAATATCTTGGAACAAAATGAAACCGTCACACCCAATGTTTTAAAAAGTGATGTTTAATCCTGCTGTCTACTTTCAAAAAGGGCTTGTTATGTTCACAAGAGTTGTCTATGTTTCCACTTCACATTATTTGCATATTAGTGGCATAAATAATTTATTTTAAACAAAATTGGGCACTTCTATCTCCTTTTAACACCAGCTAAGCATTGCTTTAGTATTTCAGCCATAATAGGACATTTCCAGGCCTCCTAGGTACAAAAATACATGAGTGATAAATATTTTAGAAAAAAACACTATTAGATAGAGTATTATTGTTGTTTTAGAGAGTTTTGCTAGAGCTTTGCTATGATGTTCAGGCTGCCCCAGAACTTGTGATCCCACTGCCTCAGGCATACACCACCAGGCCAGAAGTGACAGTAACTTTATTTTTAATAAAACTGGAAGATTCACTGAAACAGGCCAGAAGACTGACCTAGGAGCTGGATATGGGCTATTCATAGCTAAGTGATTCAGTGGGGTTTTATCAACAGGTGACAATTATAGACAGTGCACATAGCATCACATTAGGAGCAGGCATTTCTGTTTCACAGTGAACCTCTGAACTGAAGCATTCATTCTTATCTGAGAAGAGAGACTCTGTGACTATCACAAAGCCAGTAAGATGGCTAGCAGACCTGTTTCCTTCTTTCTCAGGTTTATCATGCAGAAGCAATCTTGAGAACGTCTAGGCTGCTGTGACTAGATTTAAACTTAGGAAATGTGTCCTACATACACCACTTTAGAAAATCCTGTGTTGTGGATTAGATAAATACATGTTTAAGAACTTAGGAAGCAAATCAGAGACTTCAAGGGAATTCTGAATTTGTATGATTTGTACCTCACTTAAGCATAGGAGGGAATTCTGGATTTGTACCTCACTTAAAGGTAGGAGGGAATTCTGGATTTGCACCTCACTTAAATGTAGGTTTCAAATGAAACCTTTGGAGTCCTGATATTTGCAAAACTTCCTTTTGAGAAATCTGAGACGGACTCAGCTCAGCTGAATTTGTAAAGTCCTTGGCTGATAGGAGACATGGGGGAAACAAAGAGCTCGGGTGTAGAGACTTTTCAGTACCGTACAGAAGCCAGCAGCCTGCCTGAGCCGAGCTGTGGTTTCGGCTCTGGAGGACTGAGAGGAAGAGAGACCAGCAAGCCCTCCTCCGGTGGAGGACCTGCTGCTAAGCACCACCTGGACTGCTTCAAGAGGACTGTCAGGAATCAGGAGAAGGCAATACTGCAGATTTATCACTTTCAAAGTAGCAAAGGCAGCCAGAGAGCCAAGAGAAGGGAGTCCTTTATGACTGACAGAGAGGAGCCGTAAAGCTGTTGTTTTGGTATGATACCATTCCCAAATTTCTGCTTCTTGGCTCCTTCTAAAAACCTTCCTGCCAGAGGATGTCTGCCTTATATAGCAACACGGAAGGACAAGATACAACAGATGCCCAGAGATCGCAGGTTGCAAAGCTGAGAATGCCTAACTAAGCTTTTCCAGGAAGAGCTTGGTGGTTAAACAAGAAACAGGAAAAAGGGTACTCTTTTTTTTTTTATATGTATATATATAATATCATAATTATATATTATACTATGTATTATATAATACATATTAATTTTATGTGTACAAAAGTTTTGCCTGTTTCATGGATATAAGTGTATCCTGTACATGCAGTGCACACAGAGGTCAAGAGATATCCTATCCCCTGGAACTGGAGTTACAGACAGTTGTGAGCCACCATGCAGGTGGATCAAACCCAGGTCCTCTGCAAGCGTAGCCAGTGCTCTTAGCGGCCAGGCCATCACTCCAGTTCCTGGTCTGTACTGCTTTAGGCTGTGATTTAAAATAACCCCATCTTCCCTTAGGCTGCTTTTTGGCAGGAATTTAGTCACAACAATGAGTGAAGTAGCCAACAAAGGGAGTTTGTTTTTAACCTCAATCTAAATGTCTGAATTTCACAGATTCTAAGACACACTTTTATTTTTCTCATGACTTAATATCTGTGAAATTAGAATTCCCTAATAATTGCTGGCATTTCATAGTTTGTCAAGTTACTTCTTTATCTTTTTAGTGGTATTTAAAATAATACAATAGTTCATCTTTAACCAATGGTGTTTTGCAGTCAATGATATAGCAAACGTACTGTCAAAACTACTGTGACACCGTATCCAAGCATGGAAAATACAGAATTTAGAGGCTGCGATGGGTGAGCCTGAGATGCTTACCAAGCAAAGGTGTCTGGGAAGCTGATCCTTCTAAGTTTAGTTTGATAGTGCCTGGAGCTGGGAAGCTACAGCTGCCAAGCCATTAATGGGAGTGATCACAAAGCCTCTGACAAGCTAGGGTTGTCACGACATGCCAGCAATTCCAAAAATAACGTAGTTGACTGATGTTGCACTTAGCTGTCATGGCCTCCTTGTTAGATTCGGTAAGGGGACATGTAGATCAGCCCTGAGCACTTCTTACTGGAGATACTTATTGTAATATTCCTTGTCTCAAGTCACTGCTAGGCTGGACATACCTAACCCTTCTCCAAGAACATAGTATTTTCCCCACTTTTTTCCTTGACAATATGGGCTAGGCAGAGGACTGGACATAGCAATTATATATGATGCAAAATTACCATATCATGGGGACTTAAACATCTTAATTGCTATCTTCAGTCATCACACATGAACATTGGGCTGAGAGCTTCAGGA